AAATTGCAATAGTTTACTATAGTGACAGATAGAAAAATATAAATTTAATATTTGCAGATATAATATTTATTATAAATTTCATATGATTAATTTATCTTATAAGTAATATAAGTTATGTTTTATATTTTATACATTAGTTTTTTAGGTTAAATAAATATTACACTGTTCTAAGCAAGATAAAGTGCTATTATAAATCATAATCATATTAAAAATAAATCGTCAACTTAATAAGATATTAAAATATAGTAACTACTAATTATCAAAGGATTCAAAAAGTTTAGTGCTAACAAAAATCTTTGTGTGTTTAAGCAATATACCTCCAATTAGGATGTAAATCGCACAGAATATCATCGAATTTCGGTTCATGTTCCACCAATTTTGCAGCCTTTTCCTTAATGAACTTTGTATCTTTTAATTCACTTTCACTTAGCTGAATCTTATTATTGGATAACGTGGCCAAATCACGTTTCTTATTCTCATAGTTCAAATGAAATTTCATCAAAAGAGCTAAAACAAATTGAGCGACTATCATGCTCAGGGACAATATCATTCCGTTTCTAAATTCAGGTGCCATGGTTTGTTGAAAGAGTAAAATTCCGACGACACCACCAATATTACCGATAGTAAAGGATGTTGCAATCGTTATGTTACGCTTATATTGACCGACTAATTTGAAATTAAGAAAAAAGATTAGAATTTTTAACGAACTTTTTTACTGTATATCTATTTTAAAAAAAAAATAAAGTTACTGACGAATATTACAAGTAAGCCAACTGTAAACAATTGGTTGCGTAGTATATACACCACAAGCTATAAGTATGGTGAAAAAGTAACGTATTTTGAATAAACTTGGATCAGTGGCAGATGTTGCAATCGTTCCTGCAATTCCTATGATGGCAATTATATCGCCAACCATTATAGGTTAAGCTCTGGCTTGGTATTTATCAGCTAACCAAGAAAATATAATCATTACAATAGTTGCTATTATGTATGGTGGTACACTCATTAATTGAGTATCTACAGGATTATAACCAAGCTGACCCACTAAGGTTGGAAGGAAAAAATTAAGTGCATTAAATGGAATTGATCCAAAAGTTGCGGCTAATATGTAAACGTAAACTCTGGGATCAAAAAACGCGCTTTTAGCTTGAGATTTTATGACACTACGATTTTCTTCATCAATACCACCTTCTGGTTTAAGACGATCGATGGTGTAACGACGTTCTTCAGGAGTGAGGAAACGGGCATTTCCGGGGCCTTTAGTGAAAAATGCTGCGACAACTGCAGCAAGAATGATAGTTGGGATACCTTCTAATAAAAATATTATTTGGAAGCTTTTTAATGAGGTCCCTTTTATTTGAACTATTCCATATGCCTGGATTAAGTTTAATAAAATAGTTATTAGTAGTAAATATTAGTAAATATTAGTAGGAATCTGATCTCCACATTCTTTTTTAATATTTTCCACACCATAAATCTACTTATATATATATATATTGTAGCATTATAGCAGTATTTGCAAGTTAGGTGTGAAAATATAAAAGCGGTATAGAAATACAGTATCAGGTTCTTATTACTGTATTACGTGTAGTAAATTTAAATTGATAATTGCTATCAAAAGCGTTAAAAACAAAAACTTACAAGAAGACCAGTAAATGCCCCAGCGATGATGCTCAGAGCCATAAAGGCACCGTACCTCATAGTCACTTCTTTTCTGGAGTAAAATAAGCATATATAATCTATAACAGCTGGAGAAAACCCGGCTTCTGCCACTCCTTTATTAATAAGTTAATAATTTTTGCTTTTTTAAAAAAAAAATTATATCATAAATAATTATAAATAATTATATAAAGCTAACCTAAAAGGAATCTGATAATTCCTAATTGAAGCGAAGAAGTAACTGCTGCTTGACACATAGATAAGGTACCCCAGCACACCATTATGATCGGAATCCAAACATGAAATCCCAAAATCTTTGATACAAGACTTGAAAGAATTTCAAAGAATACAAAACCAAAAAGATGTGCTGATACCGCAAGATTAAATTCGAGAGCAGTGGATTGTAAGTATTTTCCAGTGAAGCCTGCTACAATGGCGTTGCCTATGTTAGCACGATCGACTATCAAGAATAAGTATAATAAAGTACATATCGCTAATTATATGATTTTTTAAAAAAAAAATAAGTTAGTAAATAATTTAAAAATTAACAAATATTTTATATGATTGCAATCGAAACATACGTAATAAATAAATATCAAATTTCCTAATAATCCTTTTTTCCATAAATTTATCTTTGTAACCGTCATAGCTTGCTACATCTTGATTGGTAATTTCCTCTTCGCTCTTTTCTTTGACTGTCATTTTGCCCCTCAATTATTTTATAATAATAAAACAGAGAAGGTCCAGGCGAGGACGGTTAAATTTATAAAGATAGTTTCATTTTAAAAATCGCC